CACACACACACACTGAAATGGACGGGACAGAAGGAGGTTCTTAAAGAGACAGAGGCCAATTTCAAGGCATTTAGAAGAGGAAGTGATGAGAAGATAAGTTTATTTTCCTATTTAAACATAAAAACAGATTTTAATAACAACTAAAGGTGACATAGATACTTTATTATGGTATTGCATTTAAACGTATGCCTGAGAAACACATAATATTGCTGCTTTAATCCCTCTTAGAGGTTATATCAACATACTTATGTTTGTTTTTGAACATTTATGCATTTTAGGAAAACAAAAAAAATGTAAATTTAAAAAATATTAAAAAGATATGTAAATTTGCTTAATTGTCTACAAACAGCCTGGTTCTCTTCACTTCTACAATTTGTCTCACGTTTTTCTGATGATTGATTCTTTATTTTTGCTGCTTGGTGTATTGATGTAAAACAGCAAGTTAATAATTTTAGTGGCTCATATAATCATACTTTTTTAAAGGAGTTTCATTTAAACGCTGCATATTCTCAGGAAAACAAATTAATTACGGGAAATCCTTCAAAAAATATTCTTACGTGTTCTGTGTACTTTCATCTTTGCACTGTACACTGTTTTCGTCAAGCTCTCCCACTCAGCAGCACAGCTGCAGCTCCTCCACACACCTGTTACCTCTCATATTGATTAGTAAAAGTCTCATCTCTCCGGCCTACTCCACAAATCTCTTCTTAAACTTCAGCTGGTCCACAACTCCACTGCCTGCCGAACAGATCTCCATCTTTAAAAAAAAAAAACTTCCACAGGCTGCCCGTCAAACATCACGCTGAATTTAAAACCTCTCTGGGTTGTTCCTCCCCCGTASTTTCCTGAATCCACTCCAGGGCCGAGCGGTTTTGTAAGAAAATTTAGTGTTCGTTAACTGAAATTGTGACGAAACCTCATGAATGTTGGATAGGTTAAAATGTGAAGAGAAGAGAACCATACAACACCAGTGACTGGAGTGAATGGTGGTTTAATGCTGTCTGTGCAGACAAGAAACCAGCACTGAATGAATACCGGAAGTCCTGGTCCATAAATGCATGGCTCTTCAGTTCCTGGTACGCCCACTACAGGCCTATGGCTGAATCGCAGACACTCATACAGACAACCTTTCCTCAATGTTTGATTAACGGTTTTCTACTGTATGTGTTGTGATGGTGTTTTCAACATATATCTAAACCCATTTTAATCAAGACATAACAATAGTCAAACAATAGATTATAAGAATCAATACTTAAAAAGGAAAACTATGAATATGGTGCGGTGCTTCTAAAATCAGTTTCTATATGACTAAATAAATTTCTCCAGTTTGTCAAATAATACAAACATTTTTTTTCCAGTCGGTGCAGAGACATTATTGTGGCACGGATGATCTGTAAATTTAGCGTGTCGCACGCAGTGACAGTTACAAGGTTCGTGATTCAGACGGATTGTTTGGAACAACGGGATTCAGCGCTGCGACGACATAAATACAGACAGGTGTGACATGAGCACGAGTGATGAACGCTTGGCAAGTGAGCTCAGCACATCTCTGCCCTGGATGCAGCTGGATTAACAATGACTGAATGGATTAGTGGGTAAATGTGTGTGTGTGAGTGCGTGTGTTCGAAAACAACGGATTCAAACAGAGACTGATTGATAGTGGTGACTCCTTTGCCAAGTGGGTATTTGAAAAAAAAAAAGCCTTAAATCAGATATTGATAATACCTCCAGATCACCATGCTTTGTTGTCGGAGTCGGCCACACACTGACAGTATCACGCAAATCATATCATCGTTTGACCTAAATCTATTAACCCAGAGAATCACAACCTCGTTCCTCCTCCTGCTTATCGCACCAATTTACCACTCTTCTATTTCTTCCCTGACCTTTGCTCTCCTGTGAGGTTCGTTTCCTGTGAACGCTTGTCTGAAATGATACAGAGACAAACTAAGCAGATAGGTGTCCACAACCCTGTGGGGCCTCGGGGTCAGCTTTCTAATTAGCAGCCGTCCTCTTGATACTTTTATCACTCCTCACCATTTGCCCGTTTACAGAGTTTTGTATGCGGTAAAGTAAAGATGCGCTTGGAAAAATTGGTCTTCCTTTTTGCTTTAAAGCCCACAACATAAATAAATAATATATTTTGCGTGTTTGATTTATTTGACAGAGGTGATTGCCAGCTGAGCTTTTTTTCCCCCGCGGCTCTAAATTGCTTTGGATTGCTGCTAATAGCTGTTTCAGCCATTTCCCCGTGAGACCGGTATTAGAATATAAATATAGTTTTTTTTCCTGATGTCGCTCTTCTTTTGCTCTTTTATCCACGCTGCCATAATGTGCTTTTTGGATTACTGTATTTTAATATTGTGTAATGCTGTAAGAATGTCAGTAATGAATATAAGGCATGCAATCTGCTTGACTGCTCGAAATGGTCCTAATTGAAACGCTGAAAAGACAGCTCCGGCTAATCAGCTTAGAGATGTAGCCCACAGTTGACAGATAATAA